TGGATATAATGAGACGATAACAGGTAAAAATGCCTTGTTTTTGATGGGCATCCAAAAGCTACCTTGAAGCCATCGTCACAGTCGTGATAAATTTTGAAGACCGGATCAATCGTCGTCAACTCGGATTCACCACCCTGTAGGTGGAACTGTCCCTGATTGTCCGTATATCCTTGAGCAAGCAGATCGTCAGGGTCAGGTCCTAAATTGCAATCATGAGCACTTTCAGTTACATGTATTCGGTTAAGGAGCAGTCCTATCTCACCAGGAATCTTTATAACATTTGGCGAATTTACGCCGTTTCGTTTCAAGTGAATGATATCAGGCCTATGGAAGAGGTGTTCAGTCAATATTATCGGTTTCTATTAAGGTTTCAGTCGAGTCACCTCTGTCTTCCTCCCACAGTTTGATACGGTAGTTGGCTGCCGGCTGTGTACCACAAAGGAATTTACCAGTGACGGCCACTGACTGGTCTCTTATGGCTTGGCTTACAGTAACAATTGATAGGAGAACAATCACGAGATGGCTAGTCATGATTGTAGACAATAACAAAAGCGGAAGGAATAAGTAGTTGGCGATAAGAGGGAGGTTCGTGAAATGTTTTTGTGGATGGTGAACTCAAAGAAGAGGTGCTCAGGTTTGGTTAGCAGTGAGCAATGAGTAATTGCGATTAAAATCGTCAACAAAATGGTTTCGAGATGAATTGATAAGCATTCCTTGTCGAAAACATGAGCAATTAAACGTTATCATTGATACGAGTGATCGAGCATTCTCACAATTTCACGGCAATGTTTTCATAACTTCTATCGCTGCTAATTCAGTGCTTCATATTTGATAAGCCCTTTAGCGTCAAACAACCGCCGTTTCGCATTAAAGTAAGTGAATTGCAGCCACACACACAAACAATCCGAACATCCCCCGATTATATCACTTCAGCACTTATTGTTAAAGATTTTGTGAACATTAAGGGAGCAAAGTCTTGTAGAATATATCTACTGCAGATGACAAAAATTTATCGGCTTCTGCAGAAATCACTCACCTGAATCTTCTTCCCAAAGTTTCACGCGTACGTTACGAGCTGGTGCTGAACCACAAAGCAGCTTGCCACGGACGCCTACAGACTGATGGCGTACGGCCGTACAAAAGGCGACCAGCGTCAAAAGCAACAGAACCACTCCAGACCACATCTCAGCTACAATGACAATAAGCAACAAATGAAAGACACTTTCCAAGTGATTTTATCATGGCAGCAAAATGTTGATTGAGGGCACTGTCCAGACAAAGTTTTTATTTTTTTGCGTTAATTTTATGACAAACAAATAAGTTCTGAAGTGATATCGTATCATATCACAATAGTTTCAGTGCTTCCTTTCATTTTTCACTGTGTATTCGTTCATCAATATGAAATGTGCACAATAAATTGCTTGCTTATCTTTGGGTATGCGAAAAATAATGAAGATACACGTGAAGTGTTTCAGTAGAAAAATTCATCGCTCAACAACGTTTATTGCCGTGTTGACTATTTTGCTCTGATTAAGCGACGATTGACGACTGTCCGCTTATTTGTTTGCTTATACGCAAATGATTGGAAAGTGGTATATCATCGGGTGGTGCCGTAGAAGTTTAGTTCGTAATGGAAGTAAGACAAACAACACTGATAATGGACGGCACTGGTATCGTTTTGCAGTCGTCGAATGCAATTTTCATTGAAATGGAAATGAATCGCAAACAAATTTTGAAAATTACTTTTTCATGCGCACGTAACTCCAATGATTTTCGATTCTTTCTGCGCAACAAACGCTCAACACAAGAATGGCATCCAATCGACACCGTTTCTTGTGTATTTGTTCACGTGATATACGTGCCACTTATTCGGCTGATTGTGATATTATAAAGAATTTTGATGCGTAAGCTTCCAAGAATGCTACGTGCAATTCAGCAAAATCGCTTGCAAATGATGATTAGTTAACCTTAATACGTGACAAACTGGCCTGGAATTCCGTATAAAGCATCGTTGGAAAGCCAGAATGATCATTTCTTCAAAACCTAATCTGAAGCGGTTCATCAACTTTCTATAGCCTCAAATAACAATTCTTATCAAAAATCTCGAAGTTCGGGAAATAAATCCATCATCTCTCATTCTCCACAACTTTTCCTGAGCAAATATGTCCCCATCGTTAGCAGCTACGATGTTCAGTGATCCGTCGTTGATCTTCCGCTTAGCTGGTCTATCCGGAGCGATGGCCGTCGGTCTCGGAGCGTACGGAGCACACGGATTACGCTCACGTAAGGAAGTTGACGCTAAACGTTTGCATTCGTACGATCAAGGAAGTCGCTACCATTTGATACATTCGCTGGCCCTACTTGCCGCTCTACACTCACGATTCCCGGCGCTCACAACGGCATTATTACTGCTTGGAATCGTTGTATTCTGCGGCAGCTGCTACTATTACGGGCTGACCGGTGATCGAAGCTTCATCAAATCAACACCGTTTGGTGGTGTGACACTGGTTGTTGCATGGCTAACGTTTGTACTTTGAATTACCATCAGCAACCGAACAACATCAGCATGCCGATGCCAGATATGTGATCGAATCTTATGTGAAATCGTCGACTTGTTTCCGTCTATCGCAAATCCGTTTTTGAAAGCTGTCCGAATTTGATGTCATTTGAAGCTTGCATGCGACTTTATTTGTTCAGACCTTCCTAGTTCATGCACTGTCATTTTTAATAATACGCTCATGTGATTACTTGAGCTTCGTTTCGGTGTTTCTGTTGTTCATTTCTTCTTATCGAGCTAATCTTTCACTAGAAACATTCCACAGAGCAAAATTCATTTGAATTTCTTGCTGTATTCTTTGTGCATGAGAATATGCATGTATTGTTTGATGACTCTGTTCCAATGAGTTTGTTTTCACAATAAAGTGTGAGCAAAGTTTTCCAGTTCAATTCAGCACAGAAACAATAATCTTAGTGCTGCTCACGTGTTTTCCGTCTTTGATTACACCATTTAAAGCAATATATTTCAAGTTTTTGTTTGCCGCAAAAAAACTACTCCAATGAACTAGATAGCTCTTACGAAAACGTCGTGAATGTTCATCCAGCTGGCGCGCTAATATTCATCGAAATTTTTTTAACGCTGTCTAATTAGTATGTGGAAATTTTGATATAGTATTTTGTCTATATGTATACCATTTTGTCACATCAAAAATATCATGTGATTAAAACCAATCATGCAAATTGTTCATATCTCTCCTGTACCACTGAAAATGGAATGCGGCTAAGTTACGAACAGAAGTGAGAATTGTTTATTTTTATGAAGAAATTATGAATTGTTGCTAAATAAACTGATCTAATATGACGATCGACATTTGCAGTGATAATTGGATGATAACAGATCAATTCAAAAATCAAAGCAATATGTACTTTGAAGGCATTATAACGAGCAGATTCACGCCCCTAAAACAGGTCTCGTTCTTCTCCGGGGAAGATCGTTTCCAGATTAAGCACGCCTAAATCCATTATCTTTTTCGAATGACTGCCAGAGGATATGTATTGCGATGGAATCTTCAGTTTGATTTTGCGTTTACCAGGCTGCAATAAATACAACAATTCATTCCGGAGAGCATCAATCAGCTGAGCTCATAGCTCATAGTCATGCTGTAAATTGAGTTGGTGAATCCGAAAAAGATTTTGCAATTACGGGCTCCTTTCCGAGCCAAACTGTTGCAAATGAATGGTTTAAATTTCGTGTATTCTGCTGCATATGTCGTCAGATGTGACTTTCAAGAGTCTCGTACTTACTTTGATTCCGTCATCGCAATCGTGATAAATCTTAAAGATCGGATCGATTGACGTCAGTTCGCGGGTGCTTCCTTCCAGCTCAAAATGACCGGTGCTGTCCGTTGTGCCCTCGTCTAGAACATCGTCTGGATCGGGACCTGAAATATCACTGGTATGATCTGGATCTCACGATTTTGCTCGAAACACCAGTAGCTGAGCTATAAAATCATTCAGATTGAACCACATTCTTATTGCTTCCTTTATCGGGTTGAACAAAATGTGTTCGCATACGAATTCCTTAACTCACCTTCATCCTCATCCCAGAGTTTCACCTTCACATTTCTGGCCGGTTGATTGCCACACATCAGTTGCCCTTTGACGTGAACGGCCTGCTGTCTCATCGCCAAACACACGCTCAAGCACACACATAGCAGAAGAAATATCGCCTGCTTCATCTGAACAGAAGATTTGAGCAAATAAGTGACGACTGAATGAAATGTAAGTGAAATTCCATCAAACGAACAATTTACAAAGTGATCAATCAAACAACGCACATATTCGCATGTAAATTGAACTATGAAAAGGCGAATTATTATCTTTAAAAAACTTTAGTTATATAAAAGACATACATTTATACATAACAGTTCACTGGATGCTTTTCATTTGTGAAAAATGAAGCGGAAACATATGCAAATAGCCGCAGAACTTTGGGAAAGGATGTTTCAAAAAACTGATTTTGCAAAAATTCGGAATGAATGCCATCGATGATCTGATTCTAATTCCATCACTGATGAATAGTGCTACGATCAAATTACGTTGGAACAAACGATCAATTCTCTTCATTCTTGCTTCGGAGCATAAAGAAAGGAAGGAAAAAACCTCAAATGATTTCACTTCATTCTATGGTTCAACAAGGAGCATGAGAGAGTGAGGTGTTCTTTCGGCGGAACTAAATTACTACAAGTGAAAGCTGAATGAAAGCGCGTACATTTTGACGCCTCATTCGATCACGACTGTTTACGAAAAATAACAATATTTTGTTGATGTGTTCGGAGCAGCGATAAGATTCTGTTCAGCACATTACTTTTATGACTCTCACATGAATAAGATAAAGCATTCAATGTTCAAAACAACACGTTATTAAACTGATATTTTATCAGGTGTGTTTCCAATCGTGAACGATACACACACTCCGACACATACTATATGCATCAGCATCACACGCCAACATCTTTTCAATGTCATTCAACTGGGGAAATTTTTACAAAACCATAAATTCGCGTTTTCACCATGAATAAAGTTATGAATTTACACACGTTAACATACTGAAATGTATTTACACACGTTCAAATAATTTTCCGATGAACACTGAATAATTTTCCAATGAAATGATTTTACCACATAAAACACATTTTTCTCGTATTATACGTAGTTGTTTTTACGCCTTCAAGATCTGATCCACTAAACCAGTGAAACAAGATTGAAATATGTGTATTCGGATGAAAGCAGTTGCTATCAAGATATGATCTGTTCGGTTTACACTGTCGATCATTTCCCGAAATAGAATATCCTGTTAAATTGTTCATTAGGGTGTTGAGCTACATTAAGAACCTCAGCTTAACTGATAGGAGAGAAACATCTTCGGTGTAGCCTAATATCCATTAATTTGAAGGATGAGTATATTACTGCTGAATGATGATGACACTAAAGTAAGAATCTGTAGCAGCGGATATGACATGGATGATTGCTGCATCATTGCCTTATGTACCTGCTGGAGTAATTTTTAATTTGAGTTGAAAGTAAGTCATCGAGAATTATAGTTTTAATGGTGTATTTTGACAAATATTCCACTTGTTTAAGTGAAGGAATTTTCCATAAACTCAAAGCAAAGAATGAAATATTACAATGATCAAAAAGTGTTCAGTAATGGGTAAACGTTATACATCAAACAGTGATTGTCTCTTTATTCGGCTACTACAGATACTGGTTGTTGCATGCTGCATCCGCCAAATTGTATCCCATGAAAAGGATTAACGTGTGTGAATATGAATCGGAGATGTGAATGCTTATAAATGTCTATCTTGAATGTTTTGGATGTTTATGGATGTTTACCTTCGAATGAAC